GTAACACAAAAAAAAAAAAAAAAAAAAAAAAAAAAAGTAAACAAGTACCCAGAAAAATGAATTATCTGGTTTAAACAAGGGGAAAGGCTAACATATCATTTTAAATACAGTTACAAAACTAAATATTATCTACACAGGCATTAAGCTGGTCAACTGAGGCTTCATCTCTATGCCAAAAGTATCTATAAAAATTTCTGACATACCCTATTTACTAATGCAATCACCTCAACTCAAGCATCCACCTCTAAGCAAAATGAGCAAGCACTTTTTACCAATATGTATCTTCCTCATCTCCTGTATGTTTTCCTTATTTTGAAATGAAAAACTCTGCTCTTCTTTTTAAAAAAGAATTTTCTCTAAATAAAGTGAAACTAAAAAAAAAAAAAAAAAGTGAAACTAGAGCAAGGTTAGAAAGTAAATCAGCGTTATTCAGGGGATGGCAGGTCTTCCAGCGAGAAAGGCTTTCCAAATAGATTTCAAGTAGACATATAAAACTAAATTACTGGGGGCTTCCCTGGTGGCGCAGTGCTTGAGAGTCCGCCTGCCGATGCAGGAGACGCGGGTTCGTGCCCCGTTTCGGGAGGATCCCGCGTGCCGCGGAGCGGCCGGGCCCGTGAGCCATGGCCGCTGAGCCTGCGCGTCCGGAGCCTGTGCTCCGCAAATGGGAGAGGCCACAACAGTGAGAGGCCCGCATAACGCAAGAAAAAAAAAAAAAAACTAAATTACTGTCTACTGTGAAAAAGATTGACCCCTTTCTTCATAATATGGACCAAAAATAGAAAATGGTGTAGTTATTCTCGGGAACAAGGGCTTTGGAATCAGCTATTTATTTCTGAGCATCCACATGTGCCTGGTGTATAACTGAGGATAAGTTCACACTAAAATTCTGGGCCTTGGTTTCCTACTGTGAAATGGTGATACTACCACCTATTTTACAGGGTTGTTAAGAGGATTAAATGGGATAATTTAGGTAAAGTGCAGTGTGAGGCACAGAGGAGACACACAAATCATGAAGACCACCACCGTTATTATTCATCATGTTCATCAGTAAGAAGTAGTTTGAGATATATAGATAATAAAGCCAAACCAATATATTCTGGGAAAGAAAGAAAATTAGTGGTCAATTTTTGAGTTCGAGTTATTTTGTAACATCATTTCAATACAACTTTATAAACAAGTTTCTAACTGGTATTATTTTTTCTCACTAGGGATTATGAAAAATTATTTTCTCAAAAGCTTTTAATAGGAAGCCATACTTACCTTTGCTGTGTCTGAAACAGAATTCCAGTAGCCACCACTGAGTGAGAATTTTCCACTTCCTATCCGTGCCAGTATTTCCTCTGGTGTATCATCAGGGCCATTTGCAAATGGAGTGTAACTAATTTATAATAGAATTAAAATGCTAATGAATAAAACTTTTTTGGTTGGTAATTTTTATATTTATTTGCAGTATCCAAAAGTACTCTAAGTAGTTCATTTAACGTAATACTTTATTAAAACCTACTAAAGTAAAAAAATAACAACATGAAGCTTCATAAAGCACCAGGTCAAGATATAAGTTATGAAATATTAATTTAGATTTAATACACAATAATATAAATAAGATATGACACATTATAGAATAAAATATTTAAAACAGTATATGGGGCTTCCCCGGTGGCGCAGTGGTTGAGAGTCCGCCTGCCGATGCAGGGGACACGGGTTCGTGCCCTGGTCCGGGAAGATCCCATGTGCCACGGAGCGGCTGGGCTCGTGAGCCATGGCCGCTGAGCCTGCCCGTCCAGAGCCTGCGCTCCGCAACGGGAGAGGCCACGGCAGTGAGAGGCCCGCGTACCGCAAAAAAAACAAAACAAAACAAACCAGTATATGTTTATGACATAACTAGACTACAAAAAAGATATGGGAAAAAAATCAACTTATGACCTCAAGACATTAATAACAGTACACTATAGAGAACAGTAATGATACAGCTATAAATGTGAGAGAGAGAGAGAGAGAGAGAGAGAGAGAGAGAGATAGGATTGTATTATTAAACAAGATGAGAAAATATGGAAGGAAAGATATTACAATGCAGAGATTAAAAAAATAAACCTATATAATTTAAACAAAATATTGATAAAGGAATGCTTACAACATATGGTACATACTCACCCAGTGAGCATTGTATAGAGGAGGACACCAAGACTCCATATATCACAAGCCGCATCATAGCCTTGTCGTTTTAAAACCTAGAAAAAGTAAAAATTAGTATTAACACACTGCTGTTTATTATATAGATTCGGATAGGCTGTGAACTGAATTGTATCTCCTAAATCAATGCACACAAGAAAAAGAGAACATGATTAACAAACAAGGCAATATAGTAATCCTATTCTAGAACCTTCTACCACTAGTAATTCATATACATAAATTTAAATTTTTTTGGCATTTTAAATCTTTTTTAAAAAATTTATTTTATTTTATTTATTTTATTTTTGGCTGCATTGGGTCTTCGTTGCTGCAAGCGGGCTTTTCTCTGGTTGCGGCGAGCGGGGGCTACTCTTCGTTGTGGTGTGCAGGCTTCTCATTGTGGTGGTTTCTCTTGTTGGGAGCACGGGCTCTAGGTGCGTGGGCTTCAGTAGTTGTGGCACACGGGCTCAGTAGTTGTGGCTCGCGGGCTCTAGAGCTCAGGCTCAGTAGTTGTGGCGCACAGGCTTAGTTGCTCTGTGGCATGTGGGATCTTCCCGGACCAGGGCTCGAACCCGTGTCCCCTGCATTGGCAGGCGAATTCCTAACCACTGTGCCACCAGGGAAGCCCCCGGCATTTTGAAGCTTAAAACTTTATTTCTCTCTCGGTGAACTAACAACTGCTTGGGACTCTGGCCATGGACCTATGTCAGACACGTTCACAGGTGAGAATTGTATAAATTTAAATTTTGACATTCAAATTAATTTACTGAATGCTGCTGTGGCACAGAGTGGACTATAAAAATAAACTGAAGGTAAATTTCTTATTTAAATGTATTTATATTTTGTATGGGGCTGCAGAAACGATTAACATAAAACAATTAAGAAAACATATAACTAAGTATAAATGGTATAGTGCAAAACGGTTCTTTTATATATATATAATTTGATTTACTCAAGCATTTAATAATCACCAACTATTATCAGGCATAAACTGTGACAAATACATTGTGACCACCTAGAGGGGTGGGACAGGGAGGGTGGGAGGGAGACGCAAGAGGGAGGAGATATGGGAATGTATGTATATGTATAGCTGATTCACTTTGTTATAAAGCAGAAACTAACAAACCATGGTAAAGCAATTATACTTCAATAAGGAAAAAAAAAACTGTGACAAATACAAAACAACTGTTTTCCTTAAGAAAATCAGAATCTGGCAAAGGAAATAAATATATACATAGTTAACAATTCAACATGATAAGTATTCTAACAAAACTATATGTGTAAAGGATATGAGTACAAAGATGAGGAAGCAATTCATTCTTGATATGGGGAGAGAGGGAAAGCTAGGAGCAGCCTGCTTGTATTGGGCCTGTAAGTAAGAATTCAGGAGGCAAAGTGAAGAGGTGGGGGAGGGCAGAGGACACTCAAAGGGCAGAGGCAAGAGAGCAGAGCCTGCTTAGCGCCAGGCAAGTTCAGTGTGGCCAGATTTTCAGACAGGGGTTACTAGAGAGACTGAAGGGCTTTTTTAAAGGCTTTAAAAATTATTTATTCATTTGGCCACGCCACACGGCTTGCGGGATCTTAGTTCCCCAACTAGGGATCAAACCTGGGCCCCAGCAGTGAAAGTGCTGAGTCCTAACCACTGGACCGCTAGGGAGTTCACTGAAGAGCTTTTTATAAAAAACTTGTTAAGTAATCTAGATTTTTTTCCCTGCAGGCAATCAGATGTTATTGAAGCATTAAAGAGGAAAATCAAATAAGTGGATGTGTATACCAGAAAGATAACTCAAGGCATAGAGGAAATGCTGGCAAGAAGAGAGAATGGAGACAGGCCACCTCATAGGAGGCAATTTGTAAGGCAGGACATGAAGGGGAAAAGACATAAAGATAAAATGGGAAGGACTTAGTAAAGACTGGATGTATAGGGCTTCCCTGGTGGCGCAGTGGTTAAGAATCCGCCTGCCAAAGACATAAAGATAAAATGGGAAGGACTTAGTAAAGATTGGATGTATAGGGCTTCCCTGGTGGTGCAGTGGTTAAGAATCCACCTGCCAATGCAGGGGACATGGGTTTGAGCCCTGGTCCGGGAAGATCCCACATGCCACGGAGCAACTAAGCCCATGTGCCACACCACAACTACCGAGCTTGTGCTCTAGAGCCCGTGAGCCACAACTACTGAGCCCATGTGCCACAACTACTAAGCCTGCACTCTAGAGCCCATGCTTGGAAACAAGAGGAGCCACTGCAACGAGAAGCTCGTGCACCGCAACGAAGAGTAGCCCCCGCTCTCCGCAACTAGAGAAAGCCCGCGCACAGCAGCAACGAAGGCCCAATGCAGCCAAAAATAAGTAAATAAAATAAATTTTTTAAAAAAGAAAAGCATTAAAAAAAATATCTTACTGTATGTTATACGGCAAGATAAAATTTTTAAAAAACATTGGATGTATGGGGTAAGGGAAAAGGGGTCTACAATATTTAGGAATCAGAATGGAAAGGATTTGGCAACAGACTAAATGTGGAGAAATAACAGAGAAGGAAGATTTCAGGAGGACTTTAAAGTTTTAACCCAGATGACTAAATGATAAAGAGGAGACAAAGAATTAAGAGGTCAGTCTAAGGACAGTATGATCACTGAAGATTGCCTGAAGGAGAATTTAGAGGCAGGGTCTAAAGCAAAAAACATTCCAAAAGAAAAAACCATTCCAGTGTGCCAAGGCATAAAAGCTACATGGTGATTTCAAGAAGCAGACTGCTTATATGAAGCAGGAAACAATCATGAGGAAAAATTCGATGGCTGGATTAGGGGGCCACGCTTGGACACCATTGTGTGTCAGAGGCTGTGGATATGTGGACAAAGAAGAAAAATATCTGTCCCTCATCAGTTCTAGTATCTCTGGGAGAACAGACTCAAATAATCTTTACAAAATATTTTTCTATCTAAAAAGTAACAAAATTACAAAAAGTTTGGAAAACAGAGGGGGGGATCCAACTATCTTAACATTATCAACTATTACAATTCTTGTGAAATATCTAGCACATGGTAAAAGCACAGACTTTGCAGCCAGGTTGCTTGGGCTCAGATCTAGATCTGACCACAGGCAAATGGCATCACCCCCTCAGTGTGCACCTGGTTTCCTATAAAATGCAAATAAAAGTACTCACCTAAGTTATAATGAGAATGAATTATTATATATAAATTGTATCTCTGAGGATGAAATCCGTTAATATATGTGACTGGCACATAAGCCCTATATTAGGATTAACCATTGTAGTTACAATTTTTTACACAGTGATAATCAAAAGGCAAGAAATTTTGAGGGCAAAGCAGTGGATTTTAGAGTTGCTACAGTGGGGAACTGCAATTTCTTAGGAAAAGAAGCAACCTGATCAAAGCAGTGCTTGAAGAAGACTTCAGCAGCTTTGTAGCTTCTTTGTGGACTGATCACAGAATGACAAAAGGAAGCAATGTGCACCTAGGCTGCGGCAGTCATCTGGGGGTGTGGTGAGGGAAGCAGGGGCTAGGATGGTAGTTCTGTGAACAGAAGAGCCCTGAACCGGTTGCAGGGGATAAAAGAGATGGTACCTGGTTATACAGCTAAAGACAAGAAGAGCCCATGGTGTTTTAGCCTTACAAATACAAGGAAGATGGTGACAAAACCAGGAAATTCGAAGGGTGTTAGGAAAGGGGAAGAATAAGCTAGTTTCCATTTAACTCCATGCACTGACAAGCACGGAAGTGTCAGTGATAGTAGTTAGCTATAGATGTGTGATTATGCAGAAAGACAGAAGTCAGAGCCGGAAAAGCGTTATAGGTAGTAGTGGATTGATGACAGGATGAACTACCAACAGAAGAAAAAGGGCTGACATTTTATTCTAACTATTTGCTCAGTAACTCTTCAATTAAACAACTATTAACTATTCTACAGTAAACACAGTAAATGAGTTTTTAAATATACTGAAATATTGCAAGCAAACTCTTTCGCAATTACCTCTGGTGCAACAAAATTTGCAGTATAACAAGGAGTCATGAGAAGACCATTTTCTGCTCTTAGCTGTTTGGCAAAGCCAAAATCACAAATTCGAATAGATTCTGGATTGCCAGATTCATCCACATAAAGAATGTTGCTAGGTTTCAAGTCTCTGTGAACCACCTAATTGAAATACAAATTAAAGAGGTGCATTAACAATACATTTCCATTATGGAAAATTATTTATGCACAAACTGTCAAGCAATGCACTTAACAAGATGATGGGTGCCAACCTTTACATTATCCCAACATTATAAAATGCTGACAGTGTAATATAACTGCAACACAGAACTGGGGCAAGGAGAGGAGGAAGAAAGAACAGTACTTACCTTCCCCCTCTTTGTCCAATTAAGTAAGCGGATTAAGGAAAAATGCAAATAGCAGTAATATCTGTCTCCAGGTTATTCATCGTTCAACAAATATTTATGGAATGTGAATCATGTACCAGGGTATTATACAAGGAGCTGCAGATACTTTGGTGAACAAGACCTGTAAGATCCTTGCCTTTATATGCTAGGAACTTAGTAGTAAGGGAGGCCGAGAATAAATAGGTGAGAGATGGGGCATAACTCGGGCGGGTCAGGAAGGGTCTCTAGAGGAGGTAACAACTGATCCAACATCTGAAGAACAGAATGAACAAGCCAGAAGAGTGGGGGTAGTCATTCTAAGTAGAGGGAATGGCGTGTACAATGGATGAACACAACAAACATATACAGACAGGCTCAATGGAACAGGCATGGGTTTTAGGAGTAAAAAGGAAAAAACCCTCCCAGATTTATGTAAGTACTGCCTACTTGATATCCAAGTAACAATGTCACAAACACAAAAAGATACCATTCCTTTAGAGTTTGTATTACTTTCCCCCTTTAATCACCTACTTGAATACTTCTTTTATCATAAGCCTCTCTGACACTCCTTATTAGACTTATGTGCTTCCTCCATCACCAAATTCTGAGTCTATGTTCTAATCAATAACCTCAGTTTTAGGTCCTAACATCCGGAACACTGTTTCTCCAGACCATTTTAATAACTAATTACTGCTGAGGCACTGAGAAAAGAACATAGAAGAGTTAGATGACTGCAAACTCACAAATTCTTCAGTGAAAACTGAGTTCTACCAATTTCCAATCCCAGTACTAGGCAAATGTTGAGCAGCTACAAGTCAAGAAGCTCTAAAATTAAATTAACACATTCCATTTGTTAGCTTCTAGGGGCAAAGAAAACGAGAATAACGTACTGAAAATAAACTCCTTAAGAAGAGATCTCTTATTCTTTTCTTGCTTCCCATTCCTCTTCACTCCTCTGCTGTTCTCTTTCCTTCCTCCCCTCATCTCTCCTTTGTTCCCCTTCCCTCCCAGACTTCTCTTCTTTTAAAAATATGATTTTTTTTTTTTGCCACTTACTAAAAATCTATATGCAGGAAGAAAGGAGGAAAGCATCCACCATCCAGAAACCAGGTGGCTATTTGGCCTCATCTGTTTGAAGGATTTCCTTTTATAAGTGAATACAACCTATAACTCTCTGGTTCACTTCTAAACTCGAAATGGGCCCAGTTCTCAAAAGTACACAGTGGCCCAGCAAAAACGGTGCTACATCTTCCAGGTCACAAAATCTCACTCACTTCTTGGGAAGCATAAAAATTTAATGTTTATAAACAAGCTAAAATTTCAAAGTAGAACTTCAAGCTCATGACATGTACACACTGCTATATTTAAAACAGATAACCAACAAGGACCTACTATATAACACAGGGAACTCTGCTCAATATTATATAACCACCTAAATGGGAAAAAAATTTGAAAAAGAACAGATACATTTATATGTATCACTGAATCACTTTGCTGTACACCTGAAACTCTCACAACATTGTTAATCAACTATACTCCAATATAAAATAAAAAGTTAAAAAATTAAATTAAATTAAATTAAAAAAGAAAGAAACAAAAAAGAATTTCAAGCTCAATGTGAGAAGTCTACATAGAGGAAGAACAGTAGGATAATTAAGCTAATATATTTTTCATTACAGGCATAAACTAACTTCTACCTTTGTAATTTCAGCTCAAACATTAAGAAAGAAAAGGTAAGAAAAAGGGTATTTGGTATTTTATGCCAAATTTTATAAGATATTACACATTGTGTGTGTGTGTGTGTGTGTGTGTGTGTGTGTGTGTGTGTGTGTGTAAAACGTTAAAAAGACTTACCCCTTGTGCGTGAAGATATTCAACAGTTTTGGTTATAGTAAACAGGACAGCACTGGCCTCTCGTTCAGAGAAAAATTTCTGTCTAAGAATTTTATCCAGCAATTCACCCCCTTTCATAAGTTCTGTCACTACATACACATATTTTCCATCATCATATACCTGTAACATTTAACAGCAAAATGTAAAAAATTATGTGAAGCTTTACATGTGCTCAGCACACAGTTTGGCATAGTAAAAGAGAAATTAAAACTCACTTTATATACAAGGAAATTTTTACTTATCACAACCAATGAAGTATATAAAATTTGCAAACAATTTTATACACATAAAAATATTAAAATAGGAATTGATGAGACTGAATGTCAGAAAAATAACCTTTAGTTTCCTTCCGTGAACCTTAACTCATGGCAATCAAAATAAGTATGGGTATGGTATCCGAAGGGGCACTGAACTTCTGCTCTTAGGGTGTGTTCCTCTTGATCTTTCTACCTACTAATGATGAGAGGGAGGGACTGGTAGAAAGACACGCTGCTGTGATTTTCCTGGAACTTCTGCAACTGCAGAACTTCTGTATTTATACATACAGTACAAAGAATTATTCTGCTTTTGATTAAATCGAAAGACAAGCTGTGGCAAGAACTAAGTAGGAAGATTAAGTAGCAAAGAGAAATTCCATTCAACCACGCAGAAGCATACCAATTTACTCCTAACGTAGAAAAAGAAAGCTCACTGTAATTTTGGATTTGTACTCTAGGCAATCCCAAACTGAAATAACCCTCTCCTTAAACTTCAGGCCCTTTTATTCCCCTCTTCTCTTAGAGTTACTGCACACCTTTGCTTAGCTCCCTAACAGGTACCATGTATTAGGGCCCCAAATATGGAGAAAATAAGGTACCTGCCCTCAAAGTTTTTATTCTAGTAGGGAGAAACAGACATAGAAATAAGAGTTCAAAAAAATGTTGGAGATGCTGTAACAAAAGTGGGGATAATTTTAGAGACTTTGGAATTTGAAATGAAGGAAGGAGCAAAGATGTAAAAAATAGCAACAGCTTAGGGAGTTCCCCAGGCAAGGTTGACAGAAAGTGTTTTCTACATTTCTTTTTTAATTTACTTGGCTGGATTCTTGGAGGTTATATTAATTAAAGAGTCACTTAAGTGAAACATTTAATGGGACTAAGTTAACATTCTCCTCTAACAATGAACAGTGATAAATTATTCTGAGGAAATTAGAGTTTCAGTTAGGAAGGAGAAGGGAGGATAAACGTTGGAATTCACAGAACCTCAGAGGTGAAAGGTACCTTAGGAGTCCTCTGGCTTAGCTGGCTACATGACACTTCTGGTCTACAATACCCAGACACGGCCTTTGAGCCTATGTGGGCACCATGAGTAAGAGAGGACTTAATGCTGCCTGAGGAGTTCGCACCCTTTGCCAACACCTCTGTTATGATGAAAGCTGTAAGTAGCAGGGAAAGGAAACTTCACTTGTCTGGGGGGTGGTGATGGGCAGGGCAGGATTCCTGAAGGAAGTAATGCCTTAGCTAAGTCTCAGATGTGTGGTAGTTAGCCAGGCAAAAAAGGGAAATGGCATTCTCAATTGAGTGAATCATAAATTCAAAGACAGAGCAGCAGCAGAAAACGAGGCATGTTAAGAAAAATTTGTACATACTTGAGCATGGCTGGAGCATAGGGTGTGTGAGGAAGTGTGAAAACTACTACAGACGGAGGAATGCAGGGACCAGAGGTGATGGGGAACATGAACCGTAGGCAGGGAAGTAACATGGTTAGATGTAAGAGACAGCTCTCTCTGGCAGTACTGTGGAAGACAGTTTGGGGAGCCTATGGAGCCTGAGACTTGTCAATCCTGAACATAATTAATACCCAAGTATTCCAGTAAATACTGATATTAAAAGCAATAATGTAATACTTTTTTTCTTAAAGGCAGAAAAATTAACTCAACATTTTTCTCTATAACTGGAATTATGCTATATATGTTGGCCTCTAATTTATTTTTTTTACTCACTATATCGAATTCTTTGTCTACCACATGATATTTGAAAACATTCCAAATATGAGTTAGACAACTGAGTCAAATGATCTCCGTTAAAGAATCTACTTACATCCTTTAGAGTAATAATGTTTGGATGTTGTCCATAACGAAGAAGAATTTCAATTTCTTCTGTAGGGTCTCTCTTGCTTTTATCAATAATCTAAAAGGCAAATATTTATCATAAAATCTCATGAACTATACAGTATAAACGTTAAGTATTTACAGCTACAGGCTTAGGTGTTATTTTGTGTAAACACTGTATTTATAAGCAATTTATCAACCATTTTTATTCAAGTACCTGGCCAGACTGTCTAATCAAAATTTGAAAGCCAGTCTTATACAGATGGCAAGGCTGTAAAGTAAACTCTATGCCATGAGTCACATTCAAACCAGGTCTGTCTAGTTTAAGTTTTTAGCAAGTTTAGGATTTAATAAAAAATCAAAGGCCTCAAGAAAAGGTACCAAGAACACAGTTAACGTATCTTTCTTCCAGCCTTCAATGTCTTACACCTTTGGGAACGCAGTTAACTTTAAAAAAAAAAAAAACAAAAAGAAGATTTATTTATTTGTTTATTTTTGGCTGTGTTGGGTCTTCGTTGCTGCGCGTGGGCTTTCTCTAGGTGCGGCAAGTGGGGGCTACTCTTCATTGTGGTGTGCGGGCTTCTCATTGCGGTGGCCTCTCTTGTTGCGGAGCACGGGCTTCAGTAGTTGTGGCATGTGGGCTTCAGTAGTTGTGGCTTACAGGATCTAGAGCGCAGGCTCAGTAGTTGTGGCGCACGGGCTTAGTTGCTCTGCAGCACGTGGGACCTTCCTGGACCAGGGCTCAAACCCATGTCCCCCGCATTGGCAGGCGGATTCTTAACCACTGCACCACCAGAGAAGCCCTCAGTTAACTTCTAACCCCTATCAATACAGATAATTAAGAGCAAGATGTATTTATAATACCACCATTAGCATTTGTTTATTGAATTTACTTTCTTTAATAAAATGCTTCAATGGAATATCCCATCAGTTGTAAGCTACTTATAAAAAATTAATAGTTATGCAGAACAAACTTTATTTTTGAAGCTAGGCAGAAAGCTAAGCAGAATACCATACCTAGAATTCTACTTGGCTAGAATGAAGTTTAATTATTACAATAAAGCCCTTTAAAATACTAATTTAGCTTTCCAACTCTTTTATGTCACCTGCTTCTTAAAAATACTTCTCTTAACGTTTTAATCTGTTAAAGTAACACTATATTTTTAAAAAGGCAACAAGGACTTCCCTGGTGGCACAGTGGTTAAGAATCTGCCTGCCAGTGGAGGGGACACGGGTTCGATCCCTGGTCCGGGAAGATCCCACAAGCCGCAGAGCAACTAAGCCCGTGCGCTACAACTACTGAGACTGCACTCTTGAGCCTGCAAGCCACAACTACTGAAGCCCGCGTGCTCTGGGGCCCATGTGCCGCAACTGCTGAAGCTCGCATGCCTAGAGCCCATGCTCCGCAACAAGAGAAGCCACTGCACTGAGAAGCCCACACACCGCAACGAAGAGTAGCCCCCGCTCGCTCCAACTAGAGAAAGGCTGTGCAGCAACGAAGACCCAATGCAGCCAAAAAAAAAAAAAAAAAAAAAAAAAAAAAAAACTGGAAAAAAAAAAGAAAAGGCAACAAGCTGTGCTTTCATTTCATCCAAAAGGTAGTCTGAAATAAATTTTGTGACCTTCATACTTTCAGTTTTAAAACAGCTTAGTAATTATGCATGCAATAAATACCCAAACGCTTCAGCATCCTAGGAAAGAGCTTGCAACTCTCAATATGAGCCAAATCTGCTATCTGAAATGGATTTAGTTGTGAAAACAGTTCTTTATTTGGAGAACAGGTAAGTCAAACATACAGGCGTCCACTGTGATCAACTGCAAATGATAGTGTAGAATCAGGCAAATGGATGATTAAGAGGAAAGGTACATGGAATAGACATGCTGACTCAAGGGAGATGATTTGGGGTTAGTCTTTTGAAAACCAGAACACATTGGGAGGTTTTATTTTATTTTTTAAATTTATTATTTACTTATTTTTTGGCTGCATCACATGGCTTGTGGGATCTTAGTTCCTGGACCAGGGATTGAACCCGTGCTCCCTGCAGTGGAAGTGTGGCGTCCTAACCACTGGACCACCAGAGAATTGGGGAGGTTTTATTTTGGGCAACATTCTCTCTGATCTGCTAATCTTGAGCCCAGCTTACATTATATCCATAACTCTGCTTGTGAATCTTAGATATGTAGTAATTTCAGTAGAATCAAGTGCTGGGATTGGTTTTAGGGATCTAATTTAAGTCACAAGAATCCACATATAGCTGGAAGATGTTCTCAAGGTTTTGGTATACTGCTCCTGGTTTCTATAATTTGAAGGGGGCCTCAGGACACTTCTGCTTTTTTCTGATGTGTCTATGTTGGCAAGATACATTCTTAAATTGCCTACCAAGTACATTATTCACATTCTCTCCTTTCATGTGTGCAGTTTGAAAATTTCTGTGTACCCCACATTTCACTGAGTAGAAGAGCAAATTAAAATGTATTTCTATGGTTCATCCTTATAACTGACAGAATGCCTTACAGACACTGATGACTTTTTAGAACAATTACATCCAAGTTTAAAATAGCAGCAGCAATTTTTGGGTGTGTCCTCCCAGATATTTGCTATGCATAAATAAAGCACATTTATTTTTACTTTTACACAGTAAAATCATACTAGATCTAGATAAATGGACAGATTGGTGGAAGGATAGAAGTAATAATAATTAATGCCACTTTCCCCACTAACTAAACACGAGCTACCCATAGTTATAGACTAGTTCTAAGGCTCAAATTAAGTTGAAAGCTTTAGACATTTCTTGAATTGTTTGTGATGGGAGAGCAGAGGCCTCCAACTCAAGAAGTGAAAAGGCAGAAACTTGAATATAGTATTTGTTCACTTAAAACTAAAGGTTTGGACTCGAACTTTATTATAGAGGTATGTGCCTTGGTTTTTGGCTTAGAAAATCTTTACTGTCTTAGGATGCTTGACGAACTTAAAACAGCTAATGATAATATATTTTATGACAGTGGTTCTTATTTTTTATTGGTTCACAGATCCTTCTAAATGTGAAAGATGGTATGAACATTTTTGCCATAAAAATGTAAACATACAAAATTTGGCATGTAATTCCGAGGAACTCCCTGACATCTTGACCATAAACGGGGGACTTCTGAGAGTACACGGGGTGCTACTAAAAACCAGGTCAGGTGTAAAGTGATACTGCCCTCCGCAAACTGGATGTATGCTGCCTTACCTTTTGAGCTCATGGGAGGATCTACGGTTCTAGATTAAGATCCCTGAAGATCACTAGCCAGACATTTAAATTACCTTACCTTTTTATAACAAAAGGCACACTTACCAAAGAAGAGTGTAATTTTTAACTGGTACTAGCATGCATGAATAAGAACTGTTAGAGGTGCATTTGAAATCTAAAAACACTTACCTTCACTGCAAACTCCATGTTTGTGGCTTTATGTATACATCTCTTGCAAACGGAGTAGGAGCCAACCCCAATATCTTCTTTTACTTCATATCCATCAGTAAACTGAATACTGTTCCTGTGTAACTGCTACAAACACAATTATAAATTGATGAAGAGCCCTGTAATGACTTCGGTACATTACATAATAGAGAAACATGTTACTCAGCATGCACTGTTGGCCTTAACTATAAATATAAATGAATTTAGTAAAAATAAAAATGAATTTTTCTGCATATATTCTTCTACAACTGTGCATTTCTGAAGTGTCTATGATACAATGCACAGCAAGAAATATGCCTTTAAAAAAAGCTTATGTTGAAAAGAAAAAACTGAATATGTACAACAAGAAACACAGAGCTACGTGATAAGGGGCCGACAGCCTTGCCAGTGGTTATGCCCCATTCTAGTCCCCAAACGGCTACAGGTCTTTGAAATACCTTTGCAAATGGGGAGACATTTGAAACCTCTGGTACAGAAGAAAAGATTTAGGAGGATTCAGAATTAGAACATCTGGATTCTTCTCTCCGATGCACCACACAGAAATCATAAACATACATTCTATAGAATTCATCACATGCTTGTCATAGTAAAAGGGACAGACTATTTCAACATGAACTTTGTTCAAAAAACAGTGCTTAAATTGGCTTTCTAGAAAGTGGAAAGCAAGATAACTGACTTGTGAAAAAAACTTTAGCGCAAAAGCAACTTAATCATCAAGCAAATTCAAGCACTAAGTATACCCTAAAAACAATTCAGTGCTTCAAAAGATGTATCTAGTTCCCTCTATGATTAAGAAGATGAATTAAATTTATCTTTCCATGATACTACGATGGGAAGAAATAAATCTAATGGTTTGTACTATTTGTGTTCCTCTAATAACATTTAATTTAGCAGTGCAGTCGCCTGCTACAAACACACACTCAGAAACCTGCTTTTGTAGCTCCTTTTTCTCCCACTCTGATCAACAGATGGGATAAGGAGGGAGGTACCCTAAGGCAGTACCCATAACCATTTCTTCCTAATGACAATGGGGATCCAAAAGAACAAGGACACAAAACTTGGAAAACTTAAAATTTAAGTTTATTTTTATTTCTTATATATTTCTATGGCAGAGGTTGGCAAACTATGGCCTGTGGGCCAAATCTGGTTCACTACCAGTTTTTGCTAAACAAAGTTTTATTGGCACACAGCCACGTTCATTCATTTACATACAATCTATGACTGCTTTTGTGCTACAGCAGCAGAGTTGAGTAGTCGCAACAGCGATCCATATAGCCTATGAAGCCTCAAATATTTATTACCTGGTCCTTATAGAAAAAGTCTGCTGACCCCTGTTCTAAAGTATCAGTGAACTAGGAGACCTCAGCTCACCATAGCTGATCTAACAGAGACAGAGGATGAAACAAATTAGGCCCAATAAACATTCTAAGGCACAGGAGACGAGAGACAACAAGATGGTGATACTTATCTCAACTCTCTTAGAATTCTACTTTCAAGTCAGATAGGTATCCAGGATTCTGGCGCATGCAACCTTTTCAAAGGTACATGAAAGGAGTTTCTAAGAGTAATGTCAATGATATAAAATGTATTTTAAGCTGCTCACTTAAGGTCAGCAGATCAAATCTAACATAATTATCCACACAATGAACTGTATCTTACAACATTTCAAATTTAAAATTACTTAGACATTCACTCACCTGAACAATTGAATGCACACCAACTGTCTGCATAGCTTGGCTTTCATCATCTGAGGTGATAGCAACAAAACTAAACCCCCGAAAAAGCTGATGTGCATTAGCACTAGGTGGAATGCCAGGTGAATCTGAAAAGAATAATAAATTACTAAGAAAGTAATTGCTTTGAAAGGTAATTAAGGGAAGAATCGTCAACATTATGACCGTTCTCACTTATTCTGGAAATCCACTTCTCAGGTATCCAGTGTTTCCAGGATAACTAAAGAAGGCACTGTATCAGATCTGTCCTGATGGCTTATTGCCATCAAAACTCTAACATCCTAGTCCCTCAGAGCCCAGAAAATTGCTAATTCATTTGAAGAATATACTAAATTAATGAATTACTGGGTTAATATTATTCTAAATTAGCACTGTCCCAAAGAATTTCCTGCAGTGATGGAAATTTTCTTTATCTGTGCTGCCCAATACAGTAGCCCCTAGCCACATGTAGCTACTGAGAATTCGAGATGTGGTTAGTGTGACTAAGAAACAAAATTTTTAATTTTAATTAATTTAAATTTAAATAGCCACATATGGCTACTGGCTACCACATTGGACAGTACAGCCCTAAATAATAACCTAACAATGCTATGGCTCCTGGTTAGGGGGAGATACAAGGTTGATCTGCAGATAATTTAGGAGAAAGGAATTTAGCCCAGTGGTCTCAATACATAATGTCAGAATCTAGAAATCTAAACTGAAGATAAAATTATTATACATATAAAAGATCAAATTTATATATATATATAAATTATATATATATATATACTAGGACAATCACAGTACGTAGTCCTTAAAATGTTTTATGACATGACATGTATTGTTATTCAAATTATTTATGTGGAATCTACTGGCATTAACAAAAACAGAAAAATACTTTCACAATATAGTTAATGCTCACTATAAAAAGAAATAATACAAGTATAATAAATATGTTATTCATAAATATAAACATACAATTAGGCATACTAATATTTATAAACATACTATAAAGGCTAAAGGCAAGCAAAAAACAGGTAAATCTACTTAAACATCAACTCCACATAAAGTTCTCTTTTAAAATCAGCTTGATATTCTCAGCAATATATATTTTTTAGTGAATTCTATGTCAATGTGACAGTATTATACTGAAGACTTCTGCTAAGAGAATCTATCTGGGCAGAATATAATATAGAACTGCTCTATTCTAAGATTTTTCCTCTATCAGGACAAGTTGTATTGAGAAAGCAAAGTAAAACATTACCATATATCATCAGTTCTATGCATATCACTGTCTATACATTTGATAAAATTCTGTTCATGTGTTAATCCAAATTTCTAAGGCTGCCTTATAAAAATAAACATCCATCAATGCTTAATATAGGTTGTTAGACTTTTGGCTGTAAAGCTTTATAGCAAGGTTTGAATGATACACTCTATGGGAAATACACGCAAGTACATTTTCTATTTATTTGCTTGTCAATGATAAACCTGGGATCTGATACACCTAAATGAGAGAACATTAGAGTGAAAAACACCATTATGTATAATACACACACTAATGAATGAAATACAACTTACCATTTCAAAGATCACTTCTCTATAATAGTCACTGTTTGTGCAATTTTAGGATAAAGCCTGATACAGGATATGAATCATTTTGAAGTTATCACACCTCACATAAAGTTCAAGCTATGTTTGGGATGTGAACTTTGTAAGTACTTCCAGAATACCATATAATATTAGAATTTTAAAGGGCACTATTTATGCTGTAGTATTTCACGTGAACATAGCTACAGGTAAATAAACGCACAACCAAATAATTTTTTCACACAAATTGTATGAAAGTTTAAGGTACAACATAATTTGCTAAAAGATTTAACAAGGATCTTAACTTCTATAAAATGCTATAAAGGATTTACTAATGATCTAGTTATTACAGCAGGGGTAGTGTATGAAGGGAAGAAATGAGGACAGTATATAGAGTTATACTAGATAAGATTTTCTGATTGAACAAGAAAAAAATATATATTGTCTTATATTTGGGTTTTCACGTTTTCTCCTTACCTTTGGGAGTTTTCGCAGTAAACTCAGGATCAAAATAGAAAGTATCTTCAGGCCTGCCAGTTGCAGGTTTAAAAGGTGGATGAATTTCTCTTCTATACAGTTTCTGGAGGGAAAAAAAGAGACTTAGACATGTGTTAATTATAAAAAAAATTTCAAGCAAGTTTTCATTCTATACTTACATTCCAGTCTATTGTTGAGAAAAATGAATGTCTTTTAATTTCTTCAACTCCATCTGGTCCTGCGCCTATCAAAAATTGACTAGTTTTGATTAAATGGTAATTTTATTTCAAGGATAAATATATATATCGTTTATTCAGTCTTCACTTTTAACATTTGTCCTACTATTTCATAATCCCACAACAAACACAAATATCCACCTCCCCCCTAGAAAACAAACACCAACAAACACATAAAAGAAACAAATTAATTAAAAATTTTACCTAATCTGTTTGCAGGATTTCGTTTGAAAAGCATTCGTAAAAGACTCTGGGCTTCAGGACTCAAAAACTGTGGCATCCCAAGTTTGGCTCTAAATAATAAATCCATATATTTTATGTTTTGGAGGTATCTGTATTTTATTTTTAAAATAAACTTTTAATTTTAAGATAATTATGGATTCAAAATCAGAAATAATACAGACAGAGCCTATGTACCCTTTACCCAGTTTCCCCCAGTGGTAACAGCTTACAAAACTATAGTGGGATATCACAACCAGGATATTGACATTGACACAATCCACTGATCTCATTCAGGTATCTCCAATCTTCATTGCACTTATTTGTGTGTGTGTTTAGTTCTATGCCATCTTTTAAATTGAAGTATAGTTGATTTACAGTATTACATTAGTTTCAGGTGTACAGCATAGTGATTCAGTATTTTTGCAGATTATATTCCATTTTAGGTTATTATAAGATAACGGCCATAATTCCCTGTGTTATATTGTATATCCTGTTGCTTATTGATTTTATACATAGTGGTTTGTATCTATTAATCCCACGCCCCTAATTTGTCCCTCCCCCCCCTTCCATCTCCCCTTCGGTAACCATACGTTTGTCCTCTATATCTGTGAATGTTTCTGTTTTGCATATACATTCATTTGCATTATTTTTTGAATCCACATGTAAATGATATCATACAGTATTTGTCTTTCTCTGTCTCAGTTATCTCACTTAGCATAATACCCTCAAGGTCCATCCACATTGCTGTAAATGGCAGAATTTCATTGTTTTATGGCTGAGTAATATTCCATTGTGTGTGTGTGTGTGTGTGTGTGTGTGTGTGTGTGTGTGTGTTTGTGTATGTCAAATCTCCTTAATCCAATCATCTGTTAATGGGCACTTGGGGTGCTTCCATGTGCTGGCTATTGTAAATTGTGCTGCTATGAACACTGGGGTGCATGTATCTTTCTGAATTAGTGTTTTCCCAGCAACAGTGTACAAGGGTTCCCCTTTCTCCACATACTCTCCAACATGTGTGCTTTTTTTTTTTTTTGGCCACACCATGCACCTTGCGGGATCTTAGTTCCTCAACCAGGGATTGAACCTGGGCCCTCGCAGTGAAAGTACGGAGTCCTAACCACTGGACCGCCAGGGAATTCCCATCCAACGTGTGTTATCTGTAGACTTTTTTTAAAAAAACATCTTTATTGGAGCATAATTGCTTTACAATGTTGTGTTAGTTTCTGCTGTATAACAAAGTAAAAATACGGAATGCTTCACGAATTTGCATGTCATCCTTGCGCAGGGGCCATGCTAATCTTCTCTGTATCATTCCAATTTTAGTATATGCGCTGCCAAAGCGACCACTATTTGTAGACTTTTTGATGATAGCCATCCTGACAGCTGTGAGGTGAAGTTCTATGCCATTTTATTACATTTCTAAGTTCCTGTATCCACCACCACAGTAAAGGTACTGAACAGTTCAACACCACCAGAATCCCTCAAGTGGCTCCTTTATAACCACACCCACCTCCCTCCCTCCCCAATTCCTAACCTCTGGCAACCACTAATCTATTCTCCATTTCTATAATTTTGTCATTTTAAGAATGCCATGTAAATGGAACCATACAGTATGTAACTTGTTTCATGCAGCATAATTCCCTTGAGATTCATCCAAGTTGTTGTATTAATAGTTCATTCCATTTATTTATTTATCTATCTATCTATCTATTATATTATTTATTTGGTTGCACCAGGTCTTAATTGCAGCACGTGGGCTCCTTGCGGCAGGTGGGGTCCTTAGTTGCGGCTCACGGGCTCCTTAGTTGCAGCACATGAACTCTTAGTTGTGGCATGCATGTGAGATCTAGTTCCCTGACCGGTGACTGAACCCGGGCCCCCTGAATTGGGAGCATGGAGTCCTATCCACCGCACCACCAGGGAAGTCCCAACAGTTCAATCATGTTTATTGCTAAGTAGTATTCCATGACAAGGATATTCCACAGATTATCCATTTATCTGTCGAGGGACATTTGGATTGTGCCCAGTGTGGGGCTGTTACGAATAAAACTGCTATGAGCATTTGGGTCTAGGTTTTTGTGTGAACACAGAATGTTAGCCCCAAATCTTCTAATGAACTTTTTCATTTTTCAGAATTTTGTAAAAAGCACTACTGTAGAAGTAAGATCATCTGAGTCTTAGTTTTGGGTCTGTTACTAAGAACTCTGTGACCTTGGGAAAGCCAATCCCCTTGAGCCTGTTACCAGTTCTTCATGAGCAAGGGGATTGGATGTTAGATTAATGCCTGCCAAACTGTATACTTGGAACCCTTTCTCAATAGGAATCTAAGAAATCCAACATTTAAAACATTTAAAAGAACATGTGCTTCATACACCTATTTTTTTCCTCCCGTTCCCTTTAATAGCCCTCCAGGGAACAGGAGCTGATGGGAAAGGGGTCTGTGGAACATCTAAGATGTCTGTGGCACACAGTCTGAAAACCACTGGCCTGGATGAGCTTGAAGGTCTGTTTCAGTTCTAATATATAATTTTACTCTTTTTCTCAACCTACAAATTAAGGAAACCAATGATCCTGTAAGTATGAAAATAATAACAGAGCTGGAGAAAATGGCCAGCAGAGAAATTTCTATTTCAGAAATAGATCCATTTATTATTCAGTGAGTTGTTATTGAAGCTACTATGTGCTAGACACTGCTTAGGATACAGATATAAAGACAGCCCCCCCCCCGCCCACAATCAGTGGGGAAGACAGATATAGATAATGCTAGTACATTAAGAGACAAATTCAGAAGGACACATGTAAAGAGTGCTAAGGGAACAGTAGGGAATATCTATTTTAACATGGGAGATTGTAAAAGGCCTTAAATGCAATTTAAAGGTTGAGAATCTATTAGTTTGGCCAGTGTCCCCCAATATTTTACAAAATAATATTAATTTCCCTAGACACTTAGCAACAACAAAAAACTATTTCATGATCCAGTGAGTTTGTGGAATGCTATCTATTATACCCCTTGTTAGAGACATAAAATAAAATACGTTGCATATAAAAGGCTGATAAATTTAGAGTAATGAAATCAGTATTTTTCTAAACATTTGTTTTTAGCACCTCTTCTTCAGAGAATACCTATTAACATCTTGTAGAATTAGCGTTCTGTTGAACAACAGAAACGAGGGGAAACACTGCCGTATTTGGTAACAGGAATATAGCAGAGGTCTTTAAACAGTGGACTAACGGACCAGATTTATTTTCAAGAGGGAACTCCAAGGGAAGTATAGAATGATCTGGAGTGGGAAGCGGTGGTAGGCAGTGGGCAATCTACTTAGAAACTCAGCCCTATAGTGTGCGTAGGAGATCACCATGGGTAGGAGATCTGAGAACTGTAAGCAGTGCAATGCAGAAGGAAGGCTGGGACAGTGAAATATTTTCGAGAGTGAATTGGGTGAATACCTTTGTATGCAAGAGAGGAAGAAATCAAGAATGATTTCCAGGTTTCTGGCTTAGGAGATAGGGTACATGGAAAAGCTGCTAATTGGGAATACAAGAAGAGGAACAGAACAGCGAACAAAGATAAATTTAGTTTAAAAATGTTAAGTCATGCAGGTGAGTAAATGGAAATAAAGGTCTGGTGCCTGGTAAATTAAGGTAAGAAAGAGTGATTTGGGAGTAATTAAAATGTTCAATAGTTATTGGAAAGACTGATGTCAGTCAGGAAAGTGAGTCCAGGCGGGGAGAAAAGCATATCAGAGATGGAACACTGGGTAACGAGAACATTTAAAAGGTGGCCAGAAAAAGAACAATTTGGGCATTAAAAATAATGAATGCAATTAGCTGAATCACACTGATTATTAAATCCCATGACTTCGTTATAGTGAAAAAGGAAAAGGAAAAAGTCAAAACTAACATAAAATCCCAACTCATTGGACATCACCCCCACTGGGGCTCATCTTGTTTGAGCCTTATTTCAAGGTAACTAAATAGCCCTAGTTGATGAGGAAAAGCTCATTGTTTTGGAAAATACCAGCTAATAAGTGAAGGAATAACAGTAATAGAAAATACACAATTTAAAATCCCTAATAAAATAACTGTTTCAAGTAATGATTATCAGTGGATGAAACTATTAGATGAAAGCCTGACAGGGAACTTTACAATGGAGGGATCAGCTGTAACCATGGGAGTTCATCACTTAAAGTGGGGCAACATGGTGCTATAAGCCTCCTGATGTGATGCAACAGGGTGCAAAAGCACGAGCTATGAAATAATGTTGCCAAAAAAGTTTAACCAAAAACAGGATAAAGTAACAAGTGAAAAAATATCACAAGGAGAATAAAAAAACTTCACACTCCTGGGAAAAGACTAATTATTATGTAACCATGGTAACAAGAGAGGCACCAGAACCATTCAATTGATCAAAGACAACTTGCCTAGGTGAACAGAGTTTTTTGTTTTTGCAAACCAACGAATCAGTAACTGCTCTTCATCTGTGAAAATTAGCCAAATAAGAATGAACTGACGCCAATAACCACACCTGAGTGCCAAGAGTCCCACCCAAGTAACCACACTTACAGATGATGTCAATTCATTTTAGGCCCTGAAAACCTGCCAATTCTTGAACTCCACCCTTCCCCCAAACCCTATATAAGAACAATGGTCTACTCTGCTTGGAGAGATTCTACTGGACCAGCACCGCTTTCCCTA